GGGGGGGGGGTTCTCAACTCTCTTGCCAATCTAACCACATTACTTTTATTACCAGGGGTTTAGTTGTGGGAGGCGGAGAGAGGCCTCTTTGTGGACATTTTACTGTATGGAGATACAACGCGTGCTTTTATATTACATTTTAGATCAGAGAATATGAAGTCCAGTTGCATATCTGAATGATCTATCTTCTTTTTTCTGTCTTTCTCTTTTTAAAAATGAAATCCAGCCATATTAATTTCCGCATATCTGTTGCCACACATCTAGTCTGATTAAACTGCTTGTGAATAACATACCTTCATTGTTAGCAGAATATTTTTTATTCATCCAGTCGTAGTTTCAAACAATGAATAGTTGGAAAATTAAACCGCATACAGGACAACAGCATCCAGGTGATGTGGGCTTATTTCAATGTTAGCCTTGTTTTTTTCTTCATTGTTTACTTGCATGTTACATGTATTTGTCATAATCTCTGTTGATAATTTCACAGGTGAAATCGTTCAGAGAACTGTACGCCAAGGTGATTGCTGATAAACATGAAGACATTATGGCCAAGTTTGGAGCCATCACTGCCCAGGGGATTATTGACGCAGGTAATTATACAATTGTAACAGGAGAAGTAATGATTGCACTGGAATTGATCTGAGTTTTATTTATTTAATAATAATATTCTTTTTTTTTTTTTTTTTTTTTGGGGGGGGGGGGGGGTATCTTTACCACAATCATGGAGAAATTTTCTTTCCTTTTTTTTCCCCAAGATATTCACAGACATCTCTCTGGCTAATTCGGTACACATTTCTGTTTGCTTGCATAAAGAACTTTTAAAAAAGTACACACACATACACGCACATNTTTTTATTATATATATATATAGATAGATAGATAGATAGATAGATAGATAGATAGATAGATAGATAGATAGATATAGATATAGATATAGATATATATAGATATAGATAGATAGATAGATAGATAGATAGATTTATCTTTGTTGATCCATCTTCCATTTTTGACCGTCTTCCGACAGAAAAAATTAGAGACCCGTCAATGTAAATTTGACAAAGACCCAGAAGACGCCCTAAATCCGCCCCTGTAGATAGATAAGTGTTATCCCCCACCTTGCTTCTGGCAAGGGAGGGGGGAGCACAACAAAAAAAAAATCATTTGCCTCTTTCTACCTGACAAATATAAAATAGTTGATGAGGACAATTTTACTTTAATGTATAAGGCACAGTCCTGAATTAAACAAAACACTTGATCTAGTCTTGTTTCACTTATTTTATTTTATTTTATTTATTTATTTATTTTTTTGGTGGGGGGGGGAGGAGGGTACCTATATGGGGATCCACCTGCCCCTCTGTGCCCACCTTACCTTCCTATGGGTGACAACACATTAACTGAACTGATACATTGAACTGGTCAGCCTCAGTCTCTGTATTGTTTGTCATGAATTATTATCAATCTATTAATAACCTCTGTGTTAATTGTTTCATTGTGTGAGAGAGACTGGATGAGTTGTACCTGAATACAAAGATCTTGGTATTGCCCTGGGGTTATTAGCACCTACTGACTCTGGTGACTAGAGTCAAGGACACAGGTAATGATTTCCAGGTGGAGGTCTATACTTGGTCTCTTGTCCACTGATGACAAGGAAGTGAAAAAAAAATTGAAGAGTAAATTTTTTGATCAGGGATATAATGAAGGATTGAAACATCGTGTCTTACAGGACTGGCTGGGAAAATGTTTAATCTCTTAATTAGGAAGTAATTTGCTTTTCAGTCATATAATAATAAGTAGAAAAAGAAGAAACTATGGCCTGTGTATATACATGATCTTTGCATGGCACTTTGTTCAAGAACTATTAAAAAACTAATAGTATCAATGTATACACTGTAGGTTGACTGCAGCAACTAGAAGAATGAGTCTAGAACAGTTTTGTAACCCTAAAATTTACAAACAAGCACAATCTTGAGATAGTTTCAGTAAGTTTTGGACTTCATTGAGCTTGTGTGGTAAAAATAAAACTAGACACAAAATAGTGTACTTACAACCTTGAAATTGTTACACTTTGTGGCAAGTTAAAATTAAATCGGCATTTCCAAAACCAACTAGAAACACACTATGTGGAAAATGATCTTAAAACAATTTCTCCTGGCTTTGGGCTTAATCAAATCAGCATTTCAAAACTCAACTAGAAACAAAATATTAATTGGATTTCCATGTTGAGGTAACGAGTTATGATCAGGTGCACATGCACTCCCGCGTATGTGATGTAACCTCTCTTGGAAAGGCACCTGACCTTTTCTTCCTTGGGGAATAGATTGTTTCTTTTATGTTAATATTGTTGTACTTTTCCTATTTTTGGGTGTGAGAATTTTCTTCATTTTGGTATGAAATAAAGTTAAGACAGTTCCAAGTTTTTGTGTTTAAAGATATTGGTATGAGTAATGTTTGCTTTGAGAGAAGTGAGGGGTGAGTCCTCCTTGAAGAACACAGTCCTCACTTTATTTCATACTAAAATATAATTCCCTTTGTATTGAAGGCAAGACATTTTTCAGTCTTTTCAAGAAATTCAGTTTGACTCCCACCAAGGTCTTTTGCAAAAATACCTCAATTTACATGTAACATGTTGACATTTTCAGAACTTCTGACTTAAAAATACTTTCTCTTTTCTGTGGAAGTTTTAATTAACCAATGTTCCATTTTAATTTTCATTAAAACGCAAAATATATTGAAAAACTGTGGCTTATATTATGGAGAAATTTGTAAGTGTGCTGAATTTGTTCTGACAGTTAGATTGTTCATTAATATCATGCTTCCTATCAGTTTGGAATCATATAGATCAAAAGTTAGATTTGTTAACCAAAGTTGACAAAAAAAAAATGATGAGGTTTATATAAAGGTTTATGTTCATGTAATATTAAAAAGAAACAAAACCCAACTCTCTGTAGAATTTTTTCCTTTTCTTTATCAAATGGTTTGCAAAGTTATGGTTGATTGTCTTTTAGTAAAATTGTTTCTTTTTACTGTAGAAAAGTTAAAGAAAAAAGGCAAAACTTATCTGAGAAATTCAAATCTGAAAATAACCTTTCTTTTTGTGTGCATAGACTGGAGTTTGAACTTGTTAATATTCCTATCTGTACAATACCTTATAAAGTGTCAGTAAAAATCCAAAACTTACCCAGAACTTTCAAACTTTTCCACCATTGAAGTTATGGCTAACTTCTTTACTACCAGCCATCAAAATCCAGAATCATTTCAGGGACTAAAACACTGAAACCCCCATGCAGACTGTAAACAGAAAATAAAGTTTGGAAATGCTCATACACTTCACTCCAGATTCTGACTAAAATGACTTGGCTGTTTGTGATCTGTAAACAGAAAGAAAAGGTCAAGTCAAATTTACATACCTGTGTAATCAACTGTTACATCATCAACTGTACACAAGTTGGGAGATGTTCTTTCATCTGTACTTGCCCGTAGATCTACACTTAATTGACAGGTTGTGTTAGTGAGAGAAGAGAGGTGAGAGCCTGTGGGCGTCTTCACATGGGGTCAGTTATGAACCGAGCTTATTTCCCTGGTGTAAGCAGATGTTGGCATTCTAGTTGAGTCGGTATTAAATTGTAATATTTCCTATCTGTAAGCATGTCTATATTTTCCCATACACATTGCCCTTAGTTTGTTTTTAAGTGTTTATCTAATATTATATTAAAATTTTTTAATGGATAATCATATGACTTTTAGGCTCGTAGCCAGAAAATTCAAAAGGAGGGTTCTTTTTCTGAAAAAGACATTTTACCATAAAACAATCTTGTACCTAAATAAAAATTTACCCAGAGTGAATCTTTTCCTGACAAAAAGGGCATTTCGTTTGAACGCCTCACCCCCACCCCCCACCCCCACCCCCCAAGTTACGGGCCTAACTTTCTACAATGCAACAACAAATAATACCTCTCAAATAGAGCTATGAAATTACATGTGGACAGATTAAACCCATTGAACATCATATATTTAAATACCTAATTGTATAATCAATTTGTTTCTTTGCTGATGCAGGTATAACTTTTTATAACTGGAGGAATGTATTTTTTTCATATGACCTCATATCTAATGCATAGGGAAAGTTAGTCTTATTTAAAACAATCTACAGTAGAGCGAGGTTGAATGGGCCTGGTGTTTAGTGACAGATCTTAGCCTGATAACCCAGTCCAAAGTGGTTCTTGTCTGAACAGGCTGTTGTGACAGACCATTGCTTGAAAGAGAGAGGAATTTGTTTAGAGAAATTTGGACCAAGAGGGTACTGTGCCTAAAGTTTGGTTGCCTAGATAGGGTCTTGTTTAGCAAATAATGAATGATTGTAGATGCCAGTTATGGATGAACTCTTACTTAGGGCTATTACCCCCAGTGGGGGGAAGGAAGCTTATAAGATCCCTCCATTTGTCTGGGTGCTGAACTTTTGTCTTAAGATGTCTGCAACTTTAGCCAAGTCTCTTGCAATCTGCCTCTAGGCCATGGATTTTGTTTGTGTTCAGTTGCAGAACATTCAACAATGATTATTTCTTATTATGCATGTTATGCATTTAATATTGTATACAGTGTCTTGGACCTCATTCCCATAAATTTTAGATAGATCTATCCCTGTGGGGAGTCTCACTAGATTACTGTCAGCTTAGCCGGCTTAAGCGTCTGTCCCGCCTACTAAAAGCTGTAAGGGGGTAATTAACTATGGTGCGCGCTCGGCTGACTGCAATTTAGCGTGAACCACCAGGGAGTTAGGTCGATCTAAATCTAAATCTCTGGATTGATTTAAATCCCTGGGAATGCACCCTTAGTTTCCAGTATCTCACAGTTTCAGGGGCGTGTCATTTTTCAAATTGATGTTCTTGGTGTTTGACAAATATGTAAATGTTAATATTCCAGCTGTAAATATTTCTTGTTGATTGTAATTAATTGGGTATAACAGTCTCATGTAAAAGTTCCAGCCTTTGCCTCTCTCTAAGCACATACTTTCTACCAAAGGTGTTTTCTTTGGCTGTGAAACTTTTTGACTGAAGTTTTTGTAACAAATTTGATAAACTCTCACAATAATGGATAAGTTGTGTAACACAACTGTCTAATTTATTGCGTTTTCTATTATTCTGAAACTGGCAGAATATTGGTCAGGGTTTTGCAGTTTATATTAAGTGTTAACAACAAGTTGCCTCCCCAGAAATATTATTGTTTTGTTTGGGTAGTAAGATTTTATTTACCTTGAAAGATACAAGTGCAATGTACAAATATGTCATGGCATTCATGGTAAAGTTTATGCTCCCCCCCCCCCAAAAAAAAAAATAAATAAATAAGTAAGTGAATAAAAAGTGAATTTGAAATTTAAGTTCCTGAATCAGCCACTCTCTTACCCCCTCCCCCTGTATCTGTAAAGTAACTATACCTGTAAGCTTAAACATTCTTATGTCTTCACCTGTGACCCTCTCAGAGCTTAACATACTTCTCCAAAGCTGACACATTGAAGAAAAATCAAGAAATGCCATCAAACTTGAAGACTTTGGAAGTAAACATGCCAGTTAAGATCCATCATGTACTTGTGACCTGTTTATTTCAATGAGATGACCATGGGTAGTATATGCTGAGTTAAGTACAAAATAAAATGAAGAAATTCCTGGCATGAAATGCTGGGAAAATTCCTAGAAATAACAGGCTTTAGGATACACAGGTCAGGTTAACAGGAAAACATCCGCGGGGTGTGTCTGTTTTTTTTTTTTTCCCCCTTGGATCTACTGACCTTAAGTAACGTGGGCTGAGGGTGATCAACATTGAGCTAATGTTGCCTGGGTAGAATTCTGGGAAATTTCCTGGAAAAATTGACAACACGTGTGGAATACTGCATGCAGCATAAACTGAGCATGTCTTTTTTACTTCTGAATTTCATGAACAAAATTGAGAGCAAAACTTAGTAAGAATTAAGGATATATCATACAGTGTGATTGTGCATGTGTGTGTGTGTATTGAATGAATAACTGAGCTTATTTTCTCCCTAAATACTTGGAAACAACCTAAGTATATACACGTCAACTCTGTTCCTTATAAAGAGTCCAGTTAGATAATAAAATTGTGTCACTCTTCTACTTCAGGAGGCCGTAATGTGACCATGTCGCTGCAGAGTCGTACTGGTCACACCAACATGTCTGCAGTAGTAGGGTTCCTGGTGTTCCAACAGTTCTGGTACTGGTTCCCGTTGACCCACTTCTTGGCCCTGGCCTTCACCCCTACTGCCATCATTGGACTGAACAAAGACCTCAAGGTGGGTTGGTGGTATGGGGGGTGGTCACTCTACACATGTGGAGACTACCTCATCATCTAGAATTGATATTTTGCTTACTGTTTTTATGATTGATAGGAGTATAAGATTCGATTTGTATAAATTATGCTATGATTTTGTTGTAGTTGCTGTTATTTTTCTTCTTTTATTATTATTGATAGAAATAGTAAAATAATGAAATATAATTTTGATGAAAAATGAAAAAAATATTACAGTATACATGTATATGTAGAAGCATTAAAAATTTATGACACATGGGCACTAGCTGCATGAAAACTCTTTCAATGACAGTTGAAAGTTAGAAAAGATGGGTACAACAGAACCAGCTTTTGTAACTTAATTCTTTTGAAAAGAAGCATCCAGATTTATTTTCACCATTTTTTTGGTATACTTCAGATGCCCAAGTGCCAGTTCCGCAGTAATGCCAAGCCATCAACCTACGCCTACCCTCCGCCACTAGAGGAGAAGAAAGACAAGAAGGGGGAGAAAGTCGAGACAGCCGTACTCAGTATCACAGCCAAACAGAAGAAGAAAGAAGCTGATAAGAAGAAAGAAGAAGGAGGGGAGAAAATGGAGGTGGTACGTGTAGACATCCTAAATGTAGCTTGATTTCTGAAAAATTTAAAATTCAAGCCGTAAAATGGAAAGAACTCTATTATGTATGTACAGATCTTTCAGTTTGATTTCCAGTTAACATTTTCTAGCCTTTGTGCCATATTTGTTGCATTTTATTAAATTAAAAGCATGAATTGGTGAAATTTTTTAACTGTAATTGCCTTTTGATGCATCAAGGATGAAGAAAAGACAGATGAAGCTGAGAAGAAAGAAGACAAGAAGGAAGTGAAGAAAGGTTGGTGATGGCTGGTGACTCAGTCACTGCTCTTCCATGTTCAGGATGACATTAAGCTGTTGACTTGGGCAAATTTTCTGTAGATTCCCTCATAAAGTTGACTATAACAGTGATCCTAATAGCAAGCCTAGAAAAAGTTTAACCATAATGACCTCAAACCTATCTAGGTTTATTGTATTTAAGCCAAAGCAGAGATGTAGTGGCACTGTAAAATTTTATTTTAAAAAATAAATACATTTTAACACTGACCTTATTTTTTATATAAATGTATTAAATATTATAATAATTGAAAGCAATTTAAACTTTTACAGTTACAGAGCAAATTCAAAGTCTCTACTTATTAATTAGCATTTTAAATTACTGGATAAAACTGGGTTAGGGTTTTATTAACCGGTATAATACTAATGCTTTTTAGAAAAAGAAGAAAAGAAAGAGGAAGCTGAAGAGAAAGAAAAGGAAGAAAAAAAGAAAGAAGAGCCAGCCTTTGAAATGTTGGACAACCCAGCCAGAGTGATGAGAGCTCAGGTAAATTGTGGAATATGAAAGGTGATAAATCAGGTTTGAGCTCAGTTAAAGTACAGCTTTTTTCCCAGGAATTTTGTGTTTTTTACTTGAGTTCTGAAGGCAGCCTTAGACCTATGGTCAATAGGCATTGGTCACACAGCACAGGGGGATCCAGAAATATTATCTGACCCTTAGACTAGTTATAGTCCCCTATTCTGAATGGGGCCATATATGTACTAGTAGCATGCTTGTATATATCCATACAAAATGTATTAGTAGTTAAAGTAGTTAAGATAATAGGTTATGTTCAGCACTGATGTACTTAATAAGATTACATAAATACTTCTTTTTAAAATATACATGAATGAATATTACATTAATATAAATAATGATAATTAAATAATTTGTTCTTTCAGTTGCGAGTTGTCTCCCTACCAGAAGGTTCCAAATACAAGGGTTTGAAAGATGTAAGTAAATAGAGGTCACTTGTTAGAACCTGAGCAACTTGTTTTAAACAATTAATTAAGTCTTTTTGTAAAAATGGTGCTGTTGCCATCACCTTACTTCGATCATGTGCTGGTATGTGTCATATGGCAAATGTTGAATAAGAATGTTACTAAGTCTGATAAGCTTGTTGGAAGCATCATGGTAGGATAACCAAAAAGTTCTGTTGTTGATGAATGTATTCCTTCAAAAATATGCTGGTGATTGAATATCAAATGATGGTCAAAAACTACCTGAGGAACATCTTCATCTCCAGTTCACATCAGGGGCTTTACTTTAATTGGTTACTTGCTGATTGAATCTTTAGACATTTTCTGTAGCACAACTTGGGAATTCAAATTCTGTGAGAGGGCGGAAGGGTAGCTGACCATAATTGTGATGTCATGTAGTTATTTCCTTTGGGATCAAAGTTAGTTCTGGTGTGAACTTGTCTAGATGTCTGATGTGTAAACAAATTCTCAATTTTTGGAAACTTGGAAGAGATTTTTGAAGAATGATAAGTATGGAAAGAATTGCACTCCTAACAGTACATGTGCCACAAAAATTACACATGATGTGTTGATACTGCTTAATGAGAGTCACTGAAACACCTCTCACATCTTTGCCAAAAAAGATTTCTTAATTTTGGTGTAAAGTACACAAGTTGTTACACATCTGAGGAATGCAGATACTGTGTTATTATGTTGACCTGTGACACCCAAGTCACCAATAAACCAGTCTCACTAAACTGATTTAACATAACCTTTAAGTATCTCGAAAAACAGATCAGATGGAGTTTAAGTTGCACTTTTAAAGTAAGTGTGATTTTATGCGCTGTTTAAGTTTTTTGGCCCGGTGTAACCTGTAGGTTCATGATTGAGTTGTTTCATTTAGTTTGAAAAAACATAGCCTTCAAGTGTGCCAAAAGACAAATTGGGTATTTGTTCAGTTATAAATCAGAAAATATGCATTTGAATTTAAGTATCCGTACGTCTAAATCAGTGTCTGTAAGCTCATTATGGAACAGTTGTGTCACTTCATTTGTTCAGTGACCGATAAGATGTTTGTTCAGGTACACATTAAAAGAGATTGAGCATGCATCTAAATATTTGCGTTCAAATATAACTTAATAAAGAGTTGTGGGATCCAGCAAGTATACCTGTTTTTTTTTTTTTTTTTTCATCCCAAGGGGTCACGCAAGCAGCCATTTTAGATTTTTTCACGTCACCTCTAACCTAGCTGTGAACACATGGGTGAACAGTCTGCTTTGATTCAAGTTAACTTAACCTTTAAATAGCAGTGGAAATCCTTATCTAATGATGCTCTAAGTGACCCTTTTAGGCATTAAGCATGTTAAAAGTGGGCAGAGTTGCAACAAAATGCATTTTCTTCATCAGAATGAGAATGATTTTTTCCGGAGGTTCTAATGATTGGACCACTTAAAACATTTTAAGTTAAAGCACTTTCTGTAATTGAGTGATATTAGGCATTAAATGGCCATGTTTTAAAATATTCAGACTGTAAAAATGAAGGTCTCATGTAGTGGAATGTACAGGAGACAAAGCTGACTCAAACCAGAATAAATCTGAATGACAGAAATATGAATTGAATGTTACCTTTATGGCTTATTTGTGCGTGTAAATGATTGAAAATGCCAGGGTAATTTTTATAATAGGACAAATCCATGACACACTGCCTCCCATTTTTACTCAGCATATACTAGTTCTTGTCTGCATGAGTATTATTGTGGATAATGAGCATTAGCGTTGATTGCTAGATGATGATATTCAAAGTTACGTAATGATCTTTCTAGGTGTCTAATGGCGGCATCATCATGTTAAGTAACAGCAAGCCTGGAGAAGATGAAGAACTTATAGAACATGTGGCTGGTAAGGAAATTGATAATAATAATAATTATAATAAAATTGATAATAATAATAATTATAATAAAATTCATTAGTCTTTAACTCCATTTTGAAAGTGGATCAAAAAATTAAAAGCACACGATTAAAAATTTTGTTTATGGATCATAATTTTGTTGACAGTTTTTGATGTAGTAGACCTCAATTGTTGATCAAAAAAGCAAAATGTTTTGCTATATAAAGGTCTAATATTCATTGTGTGACTTCAATGTCTGTGAAAAGAGCAACTGAAGATCATGTGTTGCTTCTGTTTCAGCTGGAGGGCCCAAGGTGGAGGAAGAGAGTGAACCAGAACCACCCGAGCCATTTGAGTGGCCAGAAGATATCTGAATTATCCATCAGAATTATCCAGATCCATTTGAACGGCCTGAAGACATCTGAAGTACCCATCTGGATTATCTAGATCACCAATATGGATTAATGAGAAACTAAATGTAGATTAATGTGAATTTTGATGTGACTGTCTCTCTGGTGGAGGGCTATACTGATGAAGATTTGAACTCGAGTTTTAAAAGCCACATGAAATAAAGATTGGCAATGTGGATAGGAATAAAACTGAATTTTTTTTCTTGGTGTAATTGATGTATATGAATATTGACACTTAAGAATTTTCTCAGTTAAGATGTTCAAATGATCAGATATAGATGTCACGAAGCAGAAAAGAAAGAGGACAAGAAAGCTATGACTTTGATATGGATAGGGTTATGATGTGGTAGAAAGAAAACATGTTAGGTATAGTTACCATTATCATTTATAGAAAACATGATTTTTTTTCCATTTGAAAAGTTATCACTGTTTGAAAACCTAATACTCTATAATGTACTATGTCTATAAATAAAAAATGTGTGAGTTCATCAGAGCATTGTTATTTTTCATGTACAGACATACCCAGTATGGTGTCTATACATGATGACTGTCACCGGAGTTGGTCATTGTTATCTTCTGCTTCTTGTCTGTACATTTGACAGCTTTGCTGGCTCCTTTTGAATATATTCTAGGATGATTGTTTGCTGAGTCAGATATATTATCAAAAAATTCAGTGTGGACAAAAAAAAAAAAAAAATGAGCCACTCTCAATTCAAAATTAATCTGATTTAAAAATGTCTTTCAAATAAATGTGACTGAAAAAGTGCACAATTCCTATATCCTGCCAAACATGTTTTTCACTTTTTTTCAAATCTATTGTAATATGGATTAAAAAAATGTTTGACAGGGATGTGTAAAAATCTCAACAAAACTGAAAAATCTCCCAAGTAACCAGATCACCATACAGTGCAAAATGATGAGTAATAACATGCGTATAAATGTTTTTCTTTTTCATGAAACATTACAAGATCATAAATAAATACATTTACATTAACAATTTTTTCTACTTGAGAAAATTACCATGTACAAGAATAGGGTGAGAATATATAATTAACTTGTCCAGTGCTCATTAATTAGTAGTACTCAGTATATCCATCCTCCTGTTCCATGCATATAGTAAACTATAATAATATAATATATACTGTATACAAGCTCAAAGGTACCCCACTATCTGCAGTGTTCAGACCACCACTTTTTTTCTTTTTGATTATGTTAAGTCAAGTACAGGTTAGTAAATTGCTCTTCACTTTGTGCAAAGTATTCAATCCATGGTCAGGGGCATTATTTTATTTGAAATCAGCACAGGTTGTCCATAAGGTGAATAAAACAGCTTATACATGTCACACCCCTTTATATATCTGACATGATTTCAACATAAAATGATTTAGACTATAGATAAAATTACAACTTTTTAATTTGAAATGTAGGTCATGATCACTTGACCTTCAGTTGGTTCCCCATACACTGGTTAGTGTTTATTTCTCCCAAAGATTTCCGCTTCTTAACGGGGTAATCATGGTTTATCCAAAGTTTCTCAATGTCCTTGTCTTTACTGTCTTTAATGACTGCTCTGGTGATTTCTTGAATTTCCTCATGGAGGGACTCCATGTCTTTTCCAGCATCAATTACCTGAAAAAGAAAGCATAATATGTTCAAGACAACTTCTTAACTATTAATTGGCACTATTTTATTTTTATTCATCTATTTGGTCTTTTTACCAAGAGGGTAAAAAAAATTCGATTTTTTATGTATTTTATAATACATATACAATGGTTGAATAAACTTTATTATTAACCAAATATGAAAACTACAGTCATGCTGATAACTTTTAAAACAACTTAAAATTCAGACCAACAGAAGTGGCAGACAGACAGAAGTGTTTTAGTTGGACTGACTGACTGTAAATTCAAAACAATAGCTCTTTTTTAGGAGAGAGTTTTAGCAAATGTTTTCAAATTGTATTTGTTTTGATATGACCAACACTTTCCGTCAGTCAGCTACTCGCAATAATCACACACAAAGACATAAATGCTACTAAGTTAACAGTCATCAATCAATCCTTGTATTCTTCATGTGCTCTTTTTTATTTCTGTTCCTTTGCATTTAATTCTAAAGAATAAATGACGTATAATTGCCAGCTACCAGGCCCCTTTACAGCCTCTGGATCCCTTGGATGTTCAACCCCCTCACTCCCCCCCCCCCACCCCCTAAAAAAAAATAATAATAAATAAAACTTCAGCAATTACCCTCCAGTTGTTTTCCTTCAGATGCTCAAAGTTCTTTGCTACTTTTTCTTGGAAAGGTGTATTTTCATATCTAAAAACAAAACAAAAAAGATGTTTTTATTTTCTGCAATAAATCTGCAAGCTAAGAAATATGTGTACATTATAAAGGAAAAAAACAAGAAAATGTTTTCCGGAAAACTGAAGATTTCTAAGCTACTGGGGTACTGCACTTAAACAAGTGAAATATCATTGTTCTCTTAAACCTACAACTATATCTGCTCAAGGTCTGTACATGAGGGATGAAGCTGTCAGTAGATGGATTCAAGATGTAACCTTAAATCTGAGTACTCATCTTACAGCTAACAATCTGCAAAGTTAATATTGACCCCATGGCCATTGCCTGTAGAAATGCATAATATTTAGTAAAATTATGTGAATATGTTGAATTACTGGCCGCAACTCTGCTTCAGGGTTGTAGATCCTCAGACCTTGGTGGCCTGAAGGCTCAGAATATTCAAAAGTTTTTTGGGCAAACTGCATTACCCCATCTCTCACCTCTCTCCCCCAAATCCGCCTCTCTTGGCTGCCTCTTCTGGTGTCAGGGTCAGGTACAGGATGAGATCTGGCTTTGGGAGACCAATGTCTGGTTGTCGACACCAGTCTAAGCCGAAACCCTTGAATATGTTAAAAAAAACAATAAATAATCAAACTATCTCAATTTACTTGAGAACAGTAGATAGATCTTCAAGTTCAATAGGTCCTCAAGTTCTCAATGAATGATTCAGAATAAGATCTACATTGGTGACAAAAAGAAATTAATGAAATTTCCACAAAAAACAAAAAAAACTTTTTTCTATCTTAAGGTCTAACATGTTTTGTGGCTTTAACTCACCTGTTTAGCAGCAGTAAACGCCACCCCTGAAAATGCATATCTGTCAACAATGAGAGTAGTCCCCTGGAGTAAATGCTCTTTCATCTTTGGTCTGAAATCAAAACAAGGCAGCAAAGCTGTCAAATGTACAGACAAAAAGCAGGAAATAACAAAATAGGCTACTGTCAATTCTGATGCAAAAGTACATTATGTTAAACTGCAAATTCAACATCAAATTTTAATTATGCTCAACGTGTAATACCAATGTAAGTAAAATGTGAAACAAGCATAAGGCTTCAGGCCCATGGGAGTTCAAGTTCACACTTTGAAAATGTAAAACTTCCAGAAAAAGAAGTCAATTAGACTGCTTTTCCAACTCAGGCTGCATTTTAGTCCTGTATTTCTTTTTTGAAAGTTTGGCAATCATAAGTAACATGGTTTTCCCATAATGGTCATCATGGCAGCAGCACCCAAAATTGTGTTTTCTTCTATTCTGATGCAATATTACATAATGGTTA